CTCTTCATTTCCTCCTTTTTTGTGTCATGTAGCTATGATGTAAGTCAGCAAGGGAAAATGGGGTATGCTTTCCTTTTCTGTAGGAATTTCAGAGATAACACTGTAGTATTTTAGGACTTTTATTTCTTTTAGTAAAAGTAATGCAACTGCCTGCAATCCTTTGTTCCTCTCGGTCATTCTTCATAGAAATTGTATGCAGTATGACCATTAGAATTGATTGGCCACAGCTTGATCTTTTAGTGACATTACCTTAGGAGCTCATAAAGCTTCTACTTACATTCAAAGGGAGTTATTACTAGTAGCCTCTGGGTGTTTGGAGGGGAAAAAAAACACCTCAGGATTGGATTTTTGGAATTATTAGTCCTGTTCAGAAGTGTTATATGCCCTTTATTTTAGGTTATAAACTTAAAATGGAGCTTAGGAGCCAGGCCAGCATATCAAAAAAATGCCCCCGTCACAAAAAGTAAAGTTGAGCATCAATCTAAATGTTACACGGAATCCATTTGGTTAGGCATGAGGCCCCCTTCTCTTTTCAGCCAAGCTGCTTTTTGCTGGTTATGAATATCTGTATGAATAGTCAAGGTTTTGTCCTTTGGAGGATCAAAATTAGCTTTGAAGAAACTGTTGGATAATTTCCTTTAGGTTAGCAAAGACTTCAGAATCTTTTCCTTTTAAGCTTATATTGCCAGCAGGAGACTAGAACATTATAACCCAGCATCTCTCATCACCGGTATTATTCTGGGGAAACAAGATTGAGTGGCCTTTGTGTCTTTTCTGAGTATGAAGCATGGACCAACCTGTCATGTTTGATTTTTTTCTTTATAAATTTATTTATTTTATTTTTTATTTTTGCTGCGTTGGGTCCTCATTGCTGCGCACAGTCTTTCTCTAGTTGCGGCGAGCGGGGGGCTACTCTTCATTGCGGTGTGCGGGCTTCTCATCGCGATGGCTTCTCTTGTTGCGAAGCATGGGCTCTAGGCGCGCAGGCTTTAGTAGTAGTTGTGGCACGCGGGCTCAGTAGTTGTGGCGCATGGGCTCTAGAGCACAGGCTCGGTAGTTGTGGCACACGGGCTTAGTTGCTCCGCGACATGTGGGATCTTCCCGGACCAGGGCTCGAACCCACATCCCCTGAATTGGCAGGCGGATTCTTAACCACTGTGCCACCAGGGAAGTTCCTGATTATTAATTTGCACTTAAATTTTAGGAGTCGTCGGAGACTCTTGAATGGCTGCTGATGGCCTGAAAAGCCTTTAGGAGCCTTAAGTTTCAGAAATGGCAGGTATGTGCCTCATAGGCTGTTAACTCCAGTATCATCAGGAAATACTGAAGTGGAAGAAGCAAGCTGATGGTTAATTTTCACCTTTGAGCATATTTAGAACAGTGTGGTTTAATGGAAACGGAAACAAACCAACACTGTGACCACTGGGGTGTGATCCCAAGTCTCTCACTAAAACACTGTGTTACCTTGGTTGGTTATATAACCTCTCTGGGTCTCATTTCTTCTGGGGAGGCCAAACAGCTACCAGGTGAGAAAATAAGCTCTGGAGTTAAAATCTTAGCTTTACCAGTCACCAGCTGTAAGTCAGTATCTGCCTTACATTGAGTTATTGCGAGAATTTCTTCGTCTTAATTGTGCATTCAGCAGATGGATATTGAGTGTTGAGAATTGCCATGTGCTAGGAGTTGGGGAGGCAGCAATGAATTAGATACAGATAAATAGCAAACACTCGTATAAACATGTATACTGTTTACAGGTAGTGAGAGACAGCTGATATGTGGTGGAAGTGAGGGGTGAGTAATGACTTAGGGCGGGGAGGGGCAGTCTCATTTAAGCTGAGAAGATGACAGTTATGCTGAGTTCTGAATGAGAAAAGGAAACCAGAGCACAAGAAGAAGAAGGAAGGTCAACCCAAAGCTCGGCATGTCTGAGAGGCAAAGACAAGGATGGCAGTGCAGCTGGACCTCAGAAAGTAGGGGATGCGTCAAAGGCAGCCTGGCAATAGGGAGATGAGGCTGACGCAGTGCCTGGCACGTAAATGTTAGCAAATTAGCTATTATCATCCCTCTTTCAAAAGGGTCTCAGAAAAAAATGTTTCTAAGTATTTAGTACCACCATCTAAAATTTATAGCAAATAAATAAATAAATAAATAAAATTTATAGCAGTCTCTAGAGAAGAATGAGAACATCATTTGGGAATTCGACTTCTATTGGGTGATGATGAATGTTTGGGTTTTCATAGTGGTCACTTGTAGGAAATTTGTTAAAACACCTCTCTTTGTCTTTTGCATTGAAATCACCCCCTTCTTATCTAGACCCAATTTTCCTTCTGTTGGTTTTCTGCCCCAACTTACCTGCTAGTTTCAAATGTATGCCATTATGTTAAAATATTATTGCTTTCAAGCCCTGTGTACATCAGTTTGTCAGGACAGTGGTGCTATACCATCTCCTAAAGGAATAAAATATATGTCACTGCAAATAAATCAGAAACCATTACACTAGAAAACATGCTATGAAGAATCCACCCTCTTTGCAAATATTTACAGACGTTGTAACAGACAGAAGGATATTCAAATTAATAAAACACTGTCATTTTTGTATTTATTTTTATGCAGTAAACTGTTTGAAGGGAAAAAATTCAAGAAAACGACAGCATTTCTTTTTTGATTAGGGACTATTTGATTAGCAGCTGTTTCAAAATTCCTTTCTTCTGGAGGTTGTCCTTTTCCACAAAGGAAAAGTGAGATTTTCTTTTCCTTTGTGACGTTTTCCCCTTATGTGTAAATAAAAACCAGGGACTTGTGGCATTGACATATATAGACTACCAAATGTTAAATAGCTAGTGAGAAGCAACCACATAGCACAGGGAGATCAGCTCGGTGCTTTGTGTCCACCTAGAGGGGTGGGATAGTGAGGGTGGGAGGGAGACGCAAGAGGGAGGGGATATGGAGATATATGTATACGTATAGCTGATTTCATTTTGTTAAACAGCAGAAAGTAACACAACATTGTAAAGCAAAAAACAAAAACAAAAACCAGGGACTTCCAAGGATAGCCCACTGCTTTCTTAAATCATGGTGAGCAGTAGTAAGGGTTAACTGCGTGGTGATGTTGCAGTGGAAGGCTTCCCAGAGTTAGCCAGACTTTGAAGTTTGAGTGCACAGTCCCCAGACTGCCCTCATTTATATCATCAAATGTGAATTCTGAGTTTGGTTATTCACAAGAAGGACTGACAGGAGTCACTGAAAGCTATTATACTCATGATTATGGCTTATTACCGGGAAAAGATACATATTAAAATCAGCCAAAGGAAGAGAAGCATAGGGCAGACTCTAGAAGAGTCCTGAATGCTAATGTTTTTAATTTTTTGTGTGTGTGTTACCATCCTGGTGTTGATGTGTGACAGCACACGAGGAGAATTGGCAACCAGAAAGCTCGTCAGACCTCAGCATCCAAAGTTTTTACTGGGGCTTCATTCTGCAGTCATGGTTGATTGATTGCATATGGGGTTGAGAGCAGTTTCCAAGTCACCTCATCCCATGTGACCAAATCTCCTACTGTCAGTCATGTGGTTGGTCTTTCTAGTTTGGTCAGCCCCCATCAAGGACTATCAGGTGTGGCCACTCCCACCCTCAGACCCAGGTGACCAGTCCTCACACTAAACAAAGGCATTCCTATCAGGTAAGACATAGATTACCTCCCAAAGGCCAGATTAACGGCAAGGCCAAATTCACTGGGCAGAAGTCCAGAGAGTATCACTACATGGACTGGAATCAGATAATCTCCAGTGTGTACATTCTGAAAAGCTGTGTGTACTTGCTCACTTCACCTAACCACTCTTATATTCAACACTTCTCTTCTGTGCGTTGGGAATAATTACGGTACTTACCTCACAGAGCGTGGTGGAGATTAAAGAAAAGATGTGGGCACGTGGGGTTCATGTGGTGGCTTTGCTGCTTTTCCATAATTTCAATGATTATTTTCAGTATTATGTTATTTTATTATTCCAGTTATTATGGGAAACATTTTTATTAATGTTGTAATGTTATTACTTAGTTAAGTAGCCAAAATGGTTTCTGGGCTTTCGGGGGTTATTTTCCGTCTCGTTTTCTTTGTCATCTGTTCATGGGTTGTCTTTGTCTCTTAGTCTGATTATTCATTCTCTGCAACTTTACTGAGCATTTCAAGATAGGAGAGAAAAGAGCCCCCCCCCGCCCCGCCCCGTGAATATGTTTGTATTCAGAAACGCTCTGGTAATGATTATACAATTGCAGTAGCATAAGCATTTGGTGATGGCATTATCTCATTCCTTTTGAAATTCATAGTACAAAGACACAGGTTTTTAATTTTTTTTGTGTGTGTGTATGTGGGAATTCTCAGAATGTTCAAGTTCTCTTAACCAACGTAGAGACACTTTTTAAAGGACACTTGTTCAGTGCTGTATCCTTCTTTTCAATTTGCTAGTAGTAAAATGGAAATCCCACCAAAAATTGAGTGTTTTGAGGTCAGAATGCAAAATAACATTGTCCGCATTCAGGTTTGCAGACATGGTAGGGTTTTAGGAGAAAGACAATAATACTCAGGGATTCAACTGATTTTCAGAACAGCTTTAGCTTTGTAAAGAGGCTTATGACAGAAAGGCTTCCTAGACTAGGTAATTTACCAACGATAATTTAGGTAGAGTTTATGTTACAAAAAGTAATTAGTACAGCCTTATTTATTCTTTTAAGTAATCTTATTAATAAGGCAGTGGTTTTGATCGTAATTTTCATTCTCTTAGAAGTGTTACTAGGCTGTTAAAGATGGCTTAAGTGATGCTTATAAACAAAGCAGTGCCTACAGGGCATCTTTGTGGATGAGGGAAGAAGCAAAGCCTGCTTTTTCTTTGTTTTTTTTTTTTTTTAAAGAGCAGACACTAGTTGCTTGCTTTTCTTCTTAGATTGTAGAGTGCAGCTTGTACACTAGCTCTTACTTATTACGATTATTTTTCCCACCCATATAGGTGAGCTGCTCTTACAAGGCCCAGTGTTTATCAAAGAACCCAGCAACAGCATTTTTCCTGTTGGTTCAGAGGATAAAAAAATAACTTTAAATTGTGAAGCACGAGGCAACCCTTCACCTCATTACAGGTACAGTGGAATGTTTGAAAATCCAAATTAAGAAAAAACGATGTGGCAGTTGTGAACTTTTTTTTGCTTCAGTATATTTATGCTGTCGGTAAGAAATAATACATGAAGCTATAGTTGTCTGCTGTATTCAGCAGAGCTCATACATAAACATTTGGCTCCACATTGTATATATTTGATTGATTATTCATTTTACAGTAAGATTTCTTGATTAAAGAGAAACATGGTAGCATCTCTTAAATAAACAATGTATTTTCTTTGATTTGTGGTAAAACAATGTATAGATTTGGATTTACATGTAGTCCTTGGGAACACATCCATTGTGGGGGTGAAATTCAGTGTGTTGCAAAGGTATGTAGCAATCATAGTTTGAGAAAAAGGTAACAGCATCTATCCTTCCTTTGCTATTTTACTGAGTATATGTTAGAAGGTTCATTAAGTATAGAAGAATAAAATGCATTCCTACTGAAGTCATTTTAATTATTCTTGAAGGGAAAATAAATTTATTATATTTTTTCATGTGAAAGTGTATATCTCAGATTACATAAACAATAACTTGTTCACTGAAAACTTTAAACAACAGAAAGGTACAAGGAAAAAAGAAAAAAAAAGTGAACTCCCATCACCTTAAGATAAAAATATTAACTTTTGGGAGATGATGGTGGATTATTTGGATGGGATGGATATTTACTTTATTAAATAATACAAGATTAACGATTTTTACTTTTAGGGGTGCTCAGGGGGCCCACTTTAATGAAGAGATGAATTATTTATCAATAGCATATGCTGCTTTTGTATGAATGGTTATGAGAAAATGCTTGAGGTACCTTGAAAACAACATGCTCTTTTGAGTACTGTGAGCATTTGTCTGAAACACTCTGTTTACAGTATTAGTACGCTTGGCAAAACCTTTTCTATAACCTGCAGAACAAGCAGACTTCAGCCTTTATTAGTGAAATTCTAAATGTTTCGAGTAGATCTTCTATTGCTTGCTTAACCCGTGTAGATAATAGAAATGAACAGTCATTGTTAAACTGGGTCACCATTAGACTAGAAGGTAGACCTTGGTGTTTTTGCATCTGGAAGTAATCAAGGTCAGTTTCTTTCAACAGTATTCAACAGCATATTTATTGAGCACCTGTTGTGTGTTTTCAACAAAATAAATGTAAAGATTCCAGGTTACTGGTTAGAATTGACAGAGGTGATAGAAAGTTTTCTGTGTGCCTCTTCCTTAACCTATAGAAATAAGAAAAGTATAACATGATTTTATTTTTTTTTGGCTGCACTGTGCGGCCTGTGGGATCTTATTTCCCCGACCAGGGATTGAACCCGCGCCCCCTGCATTGGAAGCGTGGAGTCTTAACCACTGGACCACCAGGGAAGTCCCTAACATGACTAAAAAAACAAGAAACTGTGTTTTATGAGCGAGTTCAATTAACCAGACATAGCACATACAAAAGCTGAAAATATTTTCTTCTTTTGGGGGAAGATAAACAGATCCACTTAACAAGACATTATCCTGGAAACATTTATTCCTGGCATTTTTGTAGGACATTCTAACACTTCCTAAATATATCTGTTTGTTTGTCCCTGAAATGGAAGATTATCCTTTTAGATACGACTGTGAATATTATAAAGAATCCATGTAAATGACTCATGTGTGGGCTGGGTTTTTTGGTTGTTGTTGTCAGTAAAGTTATTTCCTGGCATTTATCTTGTGAATAATTTGGTGATAAATGTGTTCAGCTGCAAAATTGTCAAGATACAAGATATAGTCATACAGCAGTTTATTTCTAAATGAATAGATGAATTATGTTTGTAAAGTTTAATCAAACAGCAAGAAGACCTGAGCTTAGAAATCCAGAAACAGCCTTTTGTTGTAATTATTTCTTTATATATCAGGTATTTATTTTAATTCCGGATTAATACATTTAAAGTGATACCAGGTATTTACACGATGCCATTGTGTAAACATAATGTATTTGTTTAAACATACTGATAACATGTATAAAATGTTGATAAAATTCTGCCTTTTGCACCATACTTTTTATGATTTGTTGTATGTCCTGAGATATTATATGTTGAAATTCTAAAAAAATCTGTATCTGAGATTAGGAGATGTGTGACTGAAATTGACTTATCGGTTTTAAGTCTGATAAATGAAGAAATTTTACATGCTAGTTACTGTTTTAAAATATTTGGCTTATAGGAAAATAGAGCAGACACTTTCATTATAGCTCGAACGATTTTCTAAAGCTAAGAATTCTAACCAGTATTCATCCACGTCTCTACAAATGACCCAATTTCGTTCCTTTTCATGGCTGAGTAATATTCCATTGTATATATGTACCACATCTTCTTTATCCATTCAATCTAGAGACTGTCATACAAAGTGAAGTAAGTCAGAAAGAGAAAAACAAATATCGTATATTAACGCATATAGGTGGAATTTAGAAAAATGGTACAGATGAACCAGTTTGCAGGGCAGAAACTGAGACACAGATGTAGAGAACAAATGTATGGTCACCAAGGGGGGAAAGCATCAGGGGGGTGGGGTGGTGGTGGTGGGATGAATTGAGGGATTGGGATTGACATATATACACTAATATATATAAAATGGATAACTAATAAGAACCTGCTGTATAAAAAAATAAATAAAATTCAAAAACAAAAAAAGAATTCTAACCAGTATAAAATTTCACTTTATAGTCATTAGAAATTGAGACCTTGGGGGCTTCCCTGTTGGCACAGCGGTTACGAATCTGCCTGCCAATGCAGGGAACATGGGTTTGAGCCCTGGTCCAGGAAGATCCCACATGCCACGGAGCAATTAAGCCTGTGTGCCATAACTACTGAGCCTGCGTGCCACAACTACTGAAGCCTGCACGCCTAGAGCCGGTGCTCCTCAGCAAGAGAAGCCACCGCAATGAGAAGCCCGCGCACTGCAGTGAAGAATGGCCCCAGCTCACTGCAACTAGAGAAAGCCGGCACACAGCAACGAAGACCCAACGCAGCCAAAAATAAATAAATTAATTAATTAAAAAAAAAGAAATTGAGACATTGAAAAAGCACTAGGGAACCTCTTTTCATTGTGAAAATATTAGACTTTCCTATAATAAGCAACAACTCCCTGTTATCCATGGTATCTGTATAAGTAATAGATTGTGCTAATGGAATAAATGGGAATATAGACTGATGTGGGTTGTAATCATGACCGTGTCTACCTAGATAACACCTTCATTTATGGCCTCATTTTTTCCCTAGCTTTTGACTTTAGTAGTCAACCAGGTAATATTCTGCATTTTTCTTTAATTGTTCCAGAAGAAAATATGCTTGCTTGTTCTTATTTTTTGCTATCCTTTAAAAATTACAGGTAAATAGTGTAAATAGGTAATGACTTTGAGGACATAAATAAATAGCATGGGTTTTTTTTTTTACATAAAGTCAGAGAAAGGATACCTTTCTGTAAGTATTTACAAATCTAAGCACATAGATAGAGAGAGGGAGGGAGGGAGGGAAAAGAAAGATATCAAGGAGGAAAATTAGTGGTTCGTTTGAAGCTGTAAATTAAAAGCAGTCCAAACACATTTCCCAAGTTTCAGAATAAAGTGTATGAGTCTTATAAAAGAATGTCCTTTGAAAGCCCAGAGCTTGTCTTATAGACTGAGGCAAACTTCTCTGATGAGAAATCTTGTCTTTGTTATTATCCCACTGTGTAAAAAGAACTCTTAATTGGCCATATTAGAAATCCAAAAGTTCAGAAATTCTGAAGAGAAATTACTTGTTTTAGGGTTTAATTGAGAATTTTATTCCTTCTTTTGCATCTTCCCGCCTGAGCCCCAAAGCCTGTATTTAAAGGTTAATTAGTATTCAGTCTCATTTTAATTGCTGACGATTCTGAAAGAGGTTACCCTGAGGAAGTATTAATAACTTCTTTAAATGGGAAGGATTTTCTCCAATTTTTAAAGGGTTAAAAATGCCCATCATTTGCTAAGATGAAAGATTCCCAAATAGGAGGCTCCCTGGTCACCTCTACTGATTCCATTCAGGATTAAAAGGGACCACATATTTGGGTTAGACTGGAGTACAGTATTCAAATGCCAATGGGGACCAGGTAAGTAACAAAACTAAAAGAGGTGGCCCTGCCTTAGGAACATATGGACATATTGAATAATGACTGGAGACCGTCCCACATTCAGCCACAAGTCCGTCCACTGGTCACGACTGCCCCTTAACACTGGCCAGTTGTTACTATCCAGGAATCATGGTCCAATATTACAAAACCTTTTCAAGACATTTTTAAAATTGAGAAATTGTCTTTTTTGAACTACTTCTAATGTTGACTGTTTTTCTTTTTAAATATAATGTAGGCCAAAGAAGATAAGCCTTAAAAGTGAATGTGTCCCATGTGGCCTTTGTGTTCACAAAGTTTAGTCTAGCTGGAGACGTACATGCTGTGCTGTCCAATATGGTAGCTGGTAGCCAAGGGTGGCCATGTACGTTTAAATCCGTTAAACTAGGAATTCAGTTCCTTGGTCACAGCAGCCTCATTTCAAGTGCTCAGCAGTCACGTGTAGCTAATAGCTACTGTAATGGACAGCACAGATGAAACTTGTGGTGCTTGCAGAAGGTTCTATCAGGCAGCACTGCTCTACTCTGACCCTTGGATCCACAACTCTTTTCTATAAATGCTCTTCTGTTTTTCTCTCATCACAAGGAAGCAACCAGAGCGTCATTCTCTTCCAGCTTTATATAACAAGTAAATAATTTTAATAAAGTACAGTGTGAGGAATCTTGGATATACACGTTGTAAGGACTATATAACATTGCAAAATGCAGATCCCTCGGCCACAGTTTCTCCCTTTTAAGTAGAGTTCCCTATAATGGAGTTACATCCTGCACATGTTTAATTTACTGAAATGCATTCAGTATAAGAACGAAGAAAAAATAATGGACTAATTTCTGCTCACCATTTATTCAAGGAGTAAATGTAAGGCGTTTAC